TCAAGCTGCCTGGTGATTTAGAATTTGGTATAAAGCCGTCATCAAAAAGTAAGGATGATGAAAACTTTTCCCAAGAGCAAGATGACCTTAATGAACTTCATGAATTCGTGCGGAGACGAATAAAAATGACCAGTGATAAAATGAAGGCCAGATACGATCGAGCAGTAAATTCTGAAGGATTTACCGAAGGCCAGCTAGTACTACTGTATAGCCCACAACGTAAAAAAGGTTTATCCCCTAAGCTGCAAACTCACTGGGAAGGACCGTATGTGGTGATTAAGAAATTAAACGACGTAGTCTACCGAATACAGAAATATAAGAGCCCGAGAAGCAAAATGAAGGTTGTACACCTAGAACGACTAGCTGCCTATGGGAAAGGTGAATCTGTGCCTATTCGGGACGAACAGGCTTAAGCGGGGGACAGTGTTACGAAATTGAATTTGCATTTAAACTAAACGGTTTTTAACGGCCAGTTCCCGAAATTTCTTAGCGACTAACATTTGGGTGGCATCACTAAGCGTTGAAGAGGTGTGTGTGTCTCCACTAAACATTGACTTACATCAGTAGAAGTATCTAGATGATGGAGCCAGAATAAACTGGAAATATAAAGAAGGTGATGCCCATGTATAAATAGCGGTGGCAATCACCAAATGAGTCAGTCTGTAATAAATCGTCATTGAGTAAAGTTAATAAAGTCAAGTGTGCTTTCGTGTGTTAAAGATAAAAAGACAGCCTTACAGTCTACTATATAAGTTGTGTTATAAAAGTATTTGTGTATAAAACTGTGTAAATAAAGAGTTGTAGTTTTTAACAAATTGACGCTTTTATTTGCAATAAGAAGAATCCAGTTTATTTCAAAAGGAAATAAACGAACGTTTTAAAAGGTAAAACGTAACAATATATTTTCAGATTACCTACATACACACACACATATACACACTCCCAAGTACATACAAATATCTACTAAGGTGTTTTCTACTAATAATTTTTGTTTTTACTTATTAATAACAAAAAAAGGTGGGCTGAGGCAGCCTGCTTCTTGTAGGTATCGAACTCTGAATATAGATGTTTTTTTTTGCTTTGGGTGTTAAAAGTACTTTACTTATGATTTACAGGATATTTTTTTTTGTTGTTTGTTGTTATTTTCGCGTATTTTCTTTGCCTGTCGTGTTTTTGTTTTTATGGTTTTTAACTTTAAATTCTTCAATAGTTTTGGAAACAAATATACTACAGGTGCCATTATTAGGTAGTTTGAGTTGGACTTTTTTCTTAAATTTTTTCAATATTTAGTTTGTTCGCGTTTTTCATTAAGAACGGTTGTGTTGGTCTTTCAAGTGTTAAATAAATATTAAAATAACATATTTATAATTAAATTAATAAAGTGAATTACAACATCCTTGGCATAAAAGATAAAAGTTAAATGTGATTTTTACACCAAGTGTAATAAAATAAATCAAAGTAATATCTATTCAATTACAAAACAGTAAAAGTTCTACAATAAGTGTTAGATTCGAAACCTTCAAATTGGATATTTTTAATAAATTTTTAGATAAGGTTGATAAAGTTCAAAACAAATTAAACTTTTCCTAATATAACAAAAAAAAAATATCAATGAAATTGTAATAAAGCGTAAAAATTCGAAAAGGAATTTCTGACTAAATAACAACATCACAGCAAAGAGTAATTAGGTGAGTTTTACTCTTTCTTGGAAATAACACAAGTTTTTCCAAAAGATGATTCCTGGAACTATGTGCCAGGAATAGCAGTAATTCATAAAGACATTTACCACCTTTCCCGCTTTCTTAATATGTTGAAAATTTTTCATACAAAAATTATTTTAACCGGCAGTATATCTAAAGGTTAAACAATAATCAAAGATTCAGACATTAAGCCTTAAAAGTTTAAAGAAAATTTTCTACAAAATTCTCATTTTGATGATTTTTTTTTTTTAAGATAATTTTTAAAATTCTTCTTTAAATTTTCTTAATTTTCCACTTTTTATAATGATTGGCAATCGTTTCCGAAATGTTGAAATGATAACGGTGACGCTATTTAGGTTTATTTCGGTAACAGTATTTTGGCGGTAACGGTTGTAGAGCTGAAATTTTCTCTTTTAATAGAAAATTTTCGGAAATTACTATTTTCACTAAAATTTTTTGGAAATTTCTGTTTTAATAGAAAATTCTCGGAAATTTCTATTTAATGAAAATTTTCACAAATTTCTGTTTCGGAAATTTCTCTTTTAATACAAAATTTTCGATAATTTCTCTTTTAATAAAAAATTTTCAGAAATTGCTCTTTTAATAATAAACTTTCGGAAGTCTCTCTTTTAATACAAAATTTTTGGAAATTTCTCTTCTAATACAAAATTTTCAATAATTTCTCTTTTAATAAAAAATTTTCGAAAATTTCTCTTTTAATAGAAAATTTTCGAAAATTTCTCTTTTAATAGAAAATTTTCGAAAATTTCTCTTTTAATAGAAAATTTTCGAAAATTTCTCTTTTAATAGAAAATTTTCGAAAATTTCTCTTTTAATAGAAAATTTTCGAAAATTTCTCTTTTAATAGAAAATTTTCGAAAATTTCTCTTTTTATAGTAAATTTTCGAAAATTTCTCTTTTTATAGTAAATTTTCGGAAATTTCTCTTTTTATAGTAAATTTTCGGAAATTTCTCTTTTTATAGTAAATTTTCGGAAATTTCTCTTTTTATAGAAATTTCTCTTTAAATAGACAATTTTTCAGAATATTCTCTTTTAATAAAAAATTTTCGGAAATTTCTCTTTAAATAGAAAATTTTCCGAAATTTCTCTTTTAAAAGAAAATTTTCGGAAATTTCTCTTTTAATAGAAAATTTTCGGAAATTTCTCTTTTAATAGAAAATTTTCGGAAATTTCTCTTTTAATTGAAAATTTTCAGAAATTTCTCTTTTAATAGAAAATTTTCGGAAATTTCTCTTTTAATAGAAAATTTTCGGAAATTTCTCTTTTAAAAGAAAATTTTCGGAAATTTCTATTTTAATAGAAAATTTTCAGAAATTTCTCTTTTAATAGAAAAAATTCGGAACATTTTTGGAAAAAAAATCTCTTTTTTTATAAAAAATTTTCAAAAAATTTCTTTTTTTTTATAAAAAATTTTCGAAATTTTTCTCTTTGCATTGAAAATGTCTCTTTTTATAGAAAAAGTGCGGGAAATGTATCTTTTTATAGTCAGTTTTCCAAAAATTTCCTTTTTTTATACAAAATTTTTGGAAAATTTCTCATTTTATAAAAAAATTTTGGAAAAATTTATCTTTTTATAGAAAAATTTCTAATTCTTGTAATAAAGTTTCGAAAATTTCTCTTTTATAAAGAATTTTCGAACAATTTCTTAAACTCTTCTTAAGCTCATCTTTCATTTTAGTACAAATTTGATCTTCATCTTTGAAAAAAAATAATATTTTGTTTTTGAAAAATTTCTAACCATTCTTCTAACACTTAACACTTTTCTTTAATTTTCATTTTGTTTGCCATTACACACAAGGAAAAGTGTGAATAAAAAAACCCCAAGAGAAATGTAAAAAAGAAAAATCTCATTAAATTGTGAAGTGCTCGGTCACGATTTTTTGTATTTAAACATAAAAAAATTATGATTAAACGAAAAATAAATACATGAATGAAATGCAATTGAATGTAATGAAATGAATCTCGTGATGATGTACGGCTACATTAGCACAATAGGCCAGACCGATAGGCCAAAAGACAACAAACCGACAATGAAGGTGTTGCATAGAAGAGTTGGTTTTCGTTTTTCTTTTATTATTTTTATTGTAAATGAGGTAGTATAAGACTTGTGGGTACTCTATCAAATTTAATAGAAGTACTCTCTGGACTATATGGTATATAGTCTAGTCTTTAGTCTGGAATATAGCCTATTGTAGTCTAGTATATAGAGTGAATTATAATCTGTGTATAATCTGAACTATAGTCCAGTTTGTAGTCCTTACTCTAGTCAGGTGTATAGTCCTCAAAAAAGTCTCTTCTGTAGTGTAAACTATAGTCCAGTCTATAATCTGAACTATAGTCTGGGTGTCTGTCTATAGTCTGGACTGTTATTATATTTTGGATTATAATCTAGTCAGTACTATATTTTAGAATATATGTAAGAAGTCTAGCCTATAGTCTAATCTATAGTCAAGTATATAGTCTAATCTGTAGTCTGGACTATAGTCTAGACTATAGGCTAGTCTATAGCCAGGTTTATAGGTTGCTCTATAGTCTAGCATATAATCTGGACTGTAGTCTATTCCATAGTTTAGATTCTATATTATATTAAAACCTATGGTATAGTTTATATACGGGACTGTAGTCTAGTCTATGGTATAGACTATAGTCTAGTCTATAGTATGGACTATAGTCTAGTCTATAGTATGGACTATAGTCTAGTCTATGGTATAGACTATAGTCTAGTCTATAGTATGGACTATAATCTAGTCTATAGTATGGACTATAGTCTAGTCTATAGTATGTACTATAGTCTAGTCTATAGTATGAACTATAGTATATTCTAGTCTATTGAATGAATTATAATCTTGTCCATAGTTAGGATTAGAGTCCATTATATAGTCGGGACTATTACCTATTTTATAATGTAGACCACAGTGGATTTTGTAGTCTAATCCTTGGTCTAGACTATAGTCTAGTCCATAGTCAGGTCTATAATCTAGTTCATTGTTTAATCTATAGTCAAGACTAATAATAATCTGAATTCAAGTCTAATCTATAATTTTTACAAAACTTGAGTCTATAGTTGGAATAAAGTCTGGCCTCTTGTTACAAGTAAGGCTCTGAAAAAAATTACCTATAAATTTAAGTAGCGTTCACTCACATGTATAATAAATCACTTTAAAATTAAACTTATTTTCCCATGAAAATTACAATTACCGTTTAAACTGCTTAACTAAACATTATGCTTAACTGATTCTTACTCTCTCTCTCTCTTCCTTTTTATCATTACAGAAATCTCATAGCCAAAAGTAAAAGTCATTCATCTATTGTTGTTCCTCCTCCACCTGGTGGTGTAGCAATTGGTATTGGACCACAATTACCTCCATTATCGGGTGGTTTTATCAAATTGCGTCATGTAGGTACGACATCAGATAAACAACAAAAAGACGATCAACCAGAAACAACAGCAGCCTCAGCTACAACAACAAATCAATTTGAAACACAACAAAAACAAAACATAACAGATCATAACAAATTAGAGCAAGAAGAAATAACAAGACAACCCACAGCTTTGCCAGCATTTTTACAAGGCGGCCTTAGACGCAGTCAAACACAAGTAGGTTTATTTTAAATATTAAAAAAAACGTTTTAAATTAATGTTGAATAATTTGTTATCAAGGTCATGGGTCCCGATCAACGTTCCATTTCTAAAACCGGCTCTATAGCCGATCGTTTGGCAGCTTTACAAAAAAGTGGTGAAGATGATTGGAAACGTCGTATTTCCAAGCCCGATATTGATGATATAAAACGTGAAAATTTTGTTAATGTAAGTACAAAATGAGAATTTATTTATAATATTTTAAACAAATTTTTAAAATTTACCACAAACAAAAAACCTACTTTAATTGTTATTGTCATTATTGTCTGAGTATTTACTTTCGTTTTCCTTAATTATCTCCGATTACATTTAATTACGCACTTGCTACAACAATATTTATTTGTTTTTATTATTTTTTCTTTTCAATATTATTCAATTGTCATTGTTGTTGTTGGTTTAGTTACATTTATTGCACACACACTTTGTGGTGAGGTTTTCATTGAGTTTTGTTTTTTTGCACCTTTAATTATTTCTATTTTTCAATTTCCCTCTTCTCCTCCTCCTCCTCCTCCCTCTGCCGGTTTTCACTTTAAGCCTCCTTCTCTTCTTTCTCTGTAAATTATGTAATTTAGTTTTTTTTTATTGTGTGTTTTATACAAATATAATAAAATTGTATTTGAGTGTAAGTTGTTTTTCCATAATTGTGCAAAAGTGTGAAAAATTGTAGGTTTTCCTCACGCGTGTCGTAACTTGAGTCATACCTTTTATTATTGCTATTAACATTTTTCTGTTTTGATAATTTGAAACATGTTGTAAAAGCATACAAGATTTCCTTGATAATTAAATTAAGTTTGGTAAACCTTGAGGTAGAAAATTTTATAAATTTAAGTTTTTTGAAAAACCGGAAATTAAACAAAAAATGTTTCAAAATTTTTTCTAAAATGTATTTTTTTATGAAAAATATTGATTGTTTTATTTGTAAAGACATCGATCACTAGCGATCGGTTTTGTTCTCTATATAAAGAATGTGTTCGTTACCGATCACAGAAAGACAATCGATCGCGATTTCTTGTATTATCTATATAGAGAAAAACCATCGATCGCGATCGCTTGTTTTCTCTATATAGAAAAAGAGAAAGACTTTCGATCGCTATCATTTTCTCTATCTAGAGTAAGACTGTCAATCGCTATCACTTGTTTTTCGTATATAAAGAAAGACTATCGATCGCTATCGCTTGTTTTCTCTATTTTAAAGGATTATCTATCGTAATCGCTTGTTTTCTATAAATAGAAAAAGACTTTTAAAGGAGTATCGATCGCGATTGCTTGGATTCTCTATATAGTGAAAGACGATCGATCGACATATCTATCTATCACAATCGTTATACTGGCAATAGCGATCCCTTGTTTTTTTATATATAGAGAATGACTACCGATCGCTATCGCTTGTTTAATCTATTTTAAAAGAGTACCTATCGTGATCGCTTGTTTTTTATAAATAAAGAAAGACTTTTAAAGGAGTATCGATCACGATCACTTAAAGAGAAAGACTATCGATCGCTTGTTCTCCCTATAAAGAGAAAGACTATCGATAGCATGTTTTCTCTATATAGAGAAAGGCAATAGATCGCTTGTTTTCTTTACATAGAGAAAGGCTATCGATCGCGATCTCTTGTTTTCTCTATATAGAGAAAGACTATAGATCGAGATCGCGTGTTTTCTCTACACAGAGCAAGGCTATTGATCGCTTCTTTTCTGTATATAGAGAAAGGCTATCGATCACAAGCGCGTGTTTTCTCTATATAGAGCAGGGCTATCGATCGCGATCGCTTCTCTTCTCCATATAGAGAAAGGCTTTCGATCACGATCGCTTGTTTTCTCTATATAGAGAAAAGCGCTTGCGATCGATAGATCGTTTTCTTTTCTATATAGAGCAAGGCTATCGATCGCGATCGTTTCTTTTCTGTATATAGAGAAAGGCTATCGATCGCGATCGCTTGTTTTCTCTGTATAGTGAAAGGCTATCGTTCGCGATCGCTTCTTTTCTGTATATAGAGAAAGGCTATCGATCGCAATCGCTTGTTTTCTCTATATAGAGAAAGGTTATCGATCGCTATCGGTTTTTTTCTGTATATAGAGAAAGGCTATCGATCACGATCGCTTGTTTTCTCTGTATAGATAAAGGCTATATATCACAATCGCGTGTTTTCTCTATATAGAGCAGGGGTTTCGATGGCGATCGCTTTTATTCTGTATATAGAGAAAGACTATCGATCGCGATCGCTTGTTTTCTCTATATAAAGAAAGGCTATCGATCGAGATCGCTTGTTTTCTCTATATAGAGTAAGGCTATCGATCGCGATCGCTTGTTTTCTCTACATAGAGCAAGGCTTTCCATCGCGATCGCTTCTTTTCTGTATATAGAGAAAGGCTATCGATCGCGATCGCTTGTTATCTCTGTATAGAGAAAGGCTATCGATCGTGATCTCTTGTTTTCTCTATATAGAGAAAGGCTAGCGATCGCGATCGCTTGTTTTCTATATATAGAGAAAGGCTAGCGATCGCGATAGCCTATTTATAGAGAAAACAAATTTACAAAAAATTTCTTATTTCACTTTAAGAGAAAATTGAAAAAATTTTTTCTATTTAGAGAACAACTTTAAAAAAATCTGTTTCTACAGAAAATTTTCAAAAATATCTGTACTTTTTACAAAAATTTCGAAATTCGCTTTTAAATTAATATTTTTTTTATAGAAATGTTATGTTTTTGTAGAATAAAAATTGATTATCAATACAAAAATATCATAGATACTTAAAAATTTACGCTCACATTTTTAAACTCCCTCAAACTTGGCAACTCTAATGAAAACAAAAAACCGTTGTTAAACATATAAAATAACTCAAAAAAAGTTTCTTCAAACCAAACAGATGAATCTTTGTCAGCAATCATTGTATTTTCTGCTACAAAACTTATAGCACTTGTAATTATTTGCAAGCAAAATCTAAAGCATACTTGTAGGCATTAAATAAAATTATCATATTAGGCTTTCCCTCTAAAGCGAACTTTTATAAATCTTTTTATTTAAAAACAAATAAACAAATTGTTAATGAACTTTTTTTTTGCCTTATAAACTAAAATTTCACTTTCTTTTAATTTATACAAAAATTCCTCAAGAATAAACAATTTTACTCCATATATTTTATGGCAAATTATTAAATATTCTATAAACATATTTTTATTTATTAGAAGACCATAAATTATTAATTGCACTTGATGTGTTTGGAATAACAATTACTAAAGCAGAGTTTTATTGAATTCTTTATAAAAATTATTTTTAAATTTTTTAAACATTATTAACTTTCTTTAGTTTATATTTAAAAATTGCAGTGTTTTTTCTTTGTTTTCCTTTAAGAAAGAAGTTTTTTTTTATTGTGCCATAAATTGTTTTTTTAAATTTATCCATTTCGAAAATCTTCAACAGTTTCTTGAACTTTTAATAATTCGTATAAATATAAATGACAATCAGTTTTATATTTATTGTGTTTACAAAATCGTATTTATTGTACTGTTTTGTTTTTGTTTCTTGTTTATTTCTTACTGTTTTTAAGCCACACTCTACTTAATGTATTTATAATTGGCTAACGAACACTTTTAAACGCACTCATACCGTAAAATATATAACACCAGACAAAAACTCAAATCAACAGAGTGTTAAATGGTTTTATAGTGGGTGAGATTTTATTAAAGGCAAAAGATTTGGGATAGACTTTATTGTTTTAGTTTTACAGAAAAAGACTATCGATAATGATCGCTTGTTTTCCCTTTATAAAGAAAGACTATCGTTCACAATCGCTCGTTTCTGTTTATAAAGAAATACTTTCGATCGAGATCGCTTGTTTTCTCTTTATAGAGAAAGACTATCGATCGCGATCGCCTGTTTTCGCTATATAGAGAAAGCCTTTCGATTGATATCGCTTGTTTTCTCTTATAGAGAGAGGCTATAGATTGCGATCGCTTGCTTTCCCCATATTTAGAAAAAGACTATCTATCACGATCGCTTGTTTTCCCTATATATAGAGAAAGACTATCGATCGCGATCACTGGTATTCTCTATATAGATAAAGACTACCGATCGCTTGTTTTCTCTTTACAAAGAAAAACTATCGACCGCGATCGGTTGATTTTATTATACAAAGAAAGACTATAAATCGTGATCGCTTGTTTTCTCTATATAGAGAAAGACTATCGATCGCGATCGCTTGTTTTCCCTATATTTATATAGAAAAAGATTATCGATAGCGATCAGTGGTTTTCTCTATATATATAAAGACTATCGATCGCTTGTTTTCTCTGTATAGAGAGAGTCTATAGATTGCGATCGCTTGTTTTCCCTATATGTAGAGAAAGACTATCTATCACGATCGCTTGTTTTCTCTATATACAGAAAGACTATCGATCGCTTGTTTTCCCTATATTTATATAGAAAAAGACTATCGATAGCGATCAATGGTTTTCTCTATATATATAAAGACTATCGATCGCTTTTTTTCTCTGTATGGAGAGAGTCTATAGATTGCGATCGCTTGTTTTCCCTATATGCAGAGAAAGATTATTGATCGGGATCGCTTGTTTTTCCTATATATAGAGAAAGACTATCTATCGCGATCACTGGTTTTCTCTATATAGATAAAGACTATCGATCGCTTGTTTTCTAAATACAGAGAAAAACTATCGGACGCGATCGGTTGATTTCATTATACAGAGAAAGACTATAAATCGTGATCGTTTATTTTTTCTATATAGAGAAGGAGTAACGATCGCGATCGCCTATTTTGTCTATATAGAGAAAGACACGATCGGTCACGATCGCCTGTTTTCGCTATATAGAGATAGTTTATTGATCGCGTTCAATTATTTTCTGTGTTTAGGAAATGCAATCTGAAATAATTGTGAAAATTTATGCTGATCTGCCTTAAAAAACTGTAGTGCTCTCAATCATTTGTTAAACACTATAAAAATCCGTATAAATTAAACCGTCTTTTTTGATGTTTAATGACGGGAGATTTTGTAAACACTTTAAAATATCTTGTACTTATATTACACTATTTAAACCTACGATTTTTCCTCTTATATTTTTTTTTTGTCGATTTTCTGTTTTGTAATTTTCCGCACTACAACAATTATAAACATATTTTGTGGTTTAACGTTTTATATTGCAGTTTTTTTT